CCCCCTTGGATTTTTTTGTTTACAGTCACCTTGTTCTCCTAAATGAGTACCTACCTCCCTCTTTTTTCTTCTCTCTTTTCTCTCACTCTCCCCTTTCTCACCCTCATCCTTGAAAATTCTGTTGTTCTTGCATGAACTCCCGTACCTCAGCTTACTCCATTCCCCAGTGTAGTAGATGATATTTTGCAAACTCCCTTTTTGTGTCAGGGTAATTCAGCTGCTAACAAACAAGATGCTCATACTCCACGTGCAACTTCTTCATGTGCTGCCCAGAAAAAAGGGTATGGCCTCCTTTTTGAATATATTTAAAAACAATATGTTGATTTCTACAGAACAGTACTGGTGGTACAGTTCTGTTATATTATTACCGTGTTAGGATTTTAAAAACTTACTTTGGTGTAAACCCTGAGCCAGCAAGGCATAACACCAAGAACAATGGAGAACTTAACAAAACCTCTGTTGTGAATTTCAATAGTAAAAGGACACAATTAAGTATGCTGAGAAATATACTGTAACAATATAAAATTTTAAAAGGGTGTCAGGTTCTAATACAAAAATATCAGCACTTCGATCCTGAGGGCATTTCAGCCAGAGAGATATCGGGCCCGTTTATATGCGGAGACCTTCTGTCTGAATCCTACAGTACAGAAAATATAAATATCAGGCAGCTCTGAACAAAAACCCCATTAGAGAAATTCATCATCATCGCAGCCCTCACTTTAGAACTTGGCAATGAAGGATGCCAGTTTACAGGGAATCAGCATGAAATACATTCTAGTTATTAAAGATTCTGGACTTGTTCCCAGTTTTGCATTTAGTAGTCAAGAAAAGCAGTGTCCATACACTCTGGTGTGCACATACAGAATGCCTCCTTAGAAACCTTGCCTTGACCACCAAGAAACTTGTGAAATCTTGTGCATGCGAAAGGCAGCCACATTAATCAAAGGAGGAACACAGATGTATTTATGTATTTACAAACTGTACATGGATTTACAAATGTGAGGGCAAAAAGCAATGTAAGTTTTTATTTTCAAAATGTGAAGGAACAATATGCTTAGATCCAAAGCCAGATAGCTGTGCTGTTAATGTTTCCCACTTTGAATTGCCTAGCAAAGAATGCCGAAGAACAGATGCGGTTAAGAATAATGGGTCATGCATTAAAGAAAAAGCAAGGAAACAGGACAAGCTGAACATTGTGGTTAGCAATTTCAGTAACATGAAAGTTTAGCCTTTTCTAAAACAACCACATATAAAAAGGAACGAAGGAGCTCTGGAACATTAAAAACTAATCAAGGAAGAGGATAAGAAAACAACAAAAGTATCAAATCTATTTAATTCCTTATGGACATCCAAAATTCTAGAATAGAGACTACTACTAAAATTGATCAAGAGACAAAGACTGATAAACAAAACTTTTCCTGCATACACAAATCCTGCTCTCTCTTCTCAAACAAGAGCTAACTATGAGTAGGAAATGCCTTTATCCTTCACTCTACAGCTATATAAGGCCTTCTGTCTGAATCCTTCTCTCTTTCTGATAAGGAAGAACAAGGGTTTCCAAAATCCTGTTTCCAAATGGAAACTACAAAGGCCATCACCCAAGATGGAAGACTGATGTCCTGAAAGGCAATGGACTGGAACTGCTGTTCCAAACCACAGTCCCTCGATCAGACACTGGGCTTTTTTTCTCCTCTTTATTAATATTTAGACTTGTTTTTTCCTGAAACATAGAGAAAATACTAGCAGCCTGAACAACCCTATTTCCTTTTCATGTGTTATCTTCCCTAACATAGGTGTGAAATGTATACAACTTGGTTAATTCAGGGCTTTCTCCCACGCAACGGCTCCTTTTTCTTCTTATCTAATGCAGCAGTGAAGTCATGAATACTAAGCCTTCATTATCACAGTAATTTCCACAGCAACAGAATGATTACAAGCTTTAAACTGGAGAGAAACTGTTGAAGAAAATCTCCTCTCAAACAGTGAGTGATGACAACAATCTATAATGAGAGACTACTATAAAACCTACACAGTAAGTTTCAGAATTGTTAGGAGATACTCAGGCACTTCTTGAGGAACAGGAGGACTGAAAAAGGGAAAGAAGTGAGCAGAGTAAAGATAGCAAGTGATCCAAGATCAGTCTGACCTCAAATCAATAGGGGAGTCTTAGGCTGAAGCATTAGGTATACTAAAATAAGTATTTAATTAGAAAAAACTGCTTAGAAGACTCCTTATTAGCTAAGGAAGAGAGTCTTTAAAATATCTGGCAAACTTTTTAGTTGGTACTCTCAGTAAAACAGTGGGGATAAAGCAGATATATTATTCTTGAGTTTTACAGCCTGCCAGAGCAAGGAGCTCACAGAGAATTAAAGACACATGGACTCAGAGAACGAAGGACATCTGCAGTAAGTGGGGAACACAATGGAGGCAGGGAACTGAAAGTACTGCAGAATAAGATGAACTCAGAGAATGCGAAGTGCTGTAGAGAAGCATGCTTCATTCTTCCACAGATTTGCGATGCTGTTGTGCTTCCTATTATTTACTACAGCAGGAATATTCAATTACTAAGTTCTGAAAGAGCTTTGCTCTGTGCTACTAGTGAGGTCCTAGAGGGAGGAAGGGGGCATAAAGGTGTACAGTGCTGATGTTTCCTCACTGCAGAGCAAAGCAGAGATAGCTGAGGTGTCAAACCCTGGGATGATGAATTTACCCAGGGCAGCTGTGATCTCTCTTGCCCCCCCAGAGAGGCCAGCCACATTCAGGACAGGCTATGCCTGAGCTAATGGCCCTGTCTAATACACCTGGCTCCTGACCAGTGTGGTGTGACTTTTTCAGATCTGGGCTGCCTGGCACATGATTCCCTGTTGGCTTGCAGTGCAATGCAGGTGAGCCTAGAAAGAGCCAGCGTAATTTGCCTGCACCACTAGCGTGTGCCCTGCCATTATATTCCTATAGGAATGTTTCATGTCCAAAGCCAGAGCTACTTACTGTAACTTTATTTCCAGGAGATAAACCATGGGCAAAGATATTCTGTCTGGATGGGCAAAAAGACTGTGTGTCCCTGTCTAAAAGTGCAGCTAGGAATGGGCCACTCACAAACGTTAAATAATGCAAACCATCTGGGAAACCCTACAACTCTGTCTCAAGAAACTCAAAGCAAA